AAAAAAAAGCAGGCTCGTGTTACTAAATGAGTACCACCTAGTCAGATTTCGCAACATCAGCAGTGCCATCAAGAACTCAAAGAACTCCGGAAACCGCGGCAGTTACATCGAGCACTACGACAAACTAAAATAAGATCACAAGCGGATTTGCGGCTTAATGATGGTCGTCAGGAAGGACACCAACTAAAGGAAAGACCAAGTCAAGATCTGAGCCATATTCGTAGTAGGAAACGTCAAGGAAGTCTTCTGCACCAGATATCAAGGCATGATGTACAATCCTACTGACAGAGATACCACCGCAGAAAACCACGAAACAGACTGAACCCTACAATTTGCAAAATGCAGGAACACAGGCATCATATCATCAACTTCGGGTTCTCGCAAACGCAAGCTGGAAGAAACGCTTCTGTCTCAGCCACGACACAGAATACAGCGCCCACGACAGAAAATTCGGCACCTACGACGTCCGACCTTCAAATGCTACAAGGACGTCCAACCTCGTTCGTTCTGCGCAGCTGCTGAAGCCGTGTCATGGACAGTGCATTTTTGCAACACGTGGTTACCTTCTCTAGAACGCCACAGCCAGTCTCGGCCACCAGAACTCTCCTATTTACCGGACTGCCGCAGTCTTTTCTGAAGTTTTGCGAGTTTACGGAACACCACTGGGCCATGAAACCAATTGTGCATTTTGACATTTGTGACTTCTCAACCACTCCTTGTTTACTTTTTCTTGTTCGTAATCCACGCCTTCTTTCGGGGGGAGAGGGATCATGTGACGTATGAAGCGATGGTTGCTAGAGGCCGAGAAGGAAGAAGTGAAATGGAATAAACATGGCGTATGAGCCAGGCCACGTCTCCCATTCATCATAGCGTCACACACACACACACACACACACACACACACACACACACACACACACACACACACACACGTGTGTGTGTGTGTGTGTGTGTGTGTGTGTGTGTAATATATTTACCCGAAGGTCACGGGATCGAATCCCAGCCGCGTCATTGTCATTTTCACGGAGTCGGAGTACTGGAAGATCGTGTGCTCAGATTTAATCGCGTGTCAAAGAATCTCATCTGGTCGAAATTTCTGGAGGCCACCACTACATGATATCTCATAATGACATCGTGGCGTAGAGTGTGAACCATATTGAATACGTCGACGGAAGAAAGAGAAGTTAAAAAGTCGTAGCGGCTCAACTCTGGAAAAACATGTTTTTCGTGCAGATATCTTGGAAAATGAAAGAACAAAAGGAAGGGCGCTAAGGCTGCCGATAAAAACTGCTGGCTAAGCTTTCTTCTCGCAGAAAAAAAGAACAGGATGCGGAGATAGACGCGCTGCATCGATCATATCTTTCCCAGTGTAGACGCTCCCACGCTGGATCACATGACGATGTCACGTACGCACAAGGTCCAACAGTGCGTTTGCCGAGCCAAGTTTTCTCACTTGTAGAGACGCGCGAATAGTCGTTTTTGCGACTGTATTGAATTTCAGCAATTTCGGAATATTGCCGTTTTTGCAAATAACATGCAATAGTGTTCACATGGCCACTCTACATTAAAACTCAGCGCACAATGCCAACTTTAAAGAAAGGTGCCAAGAAATGCAGGGTCACGCAGTCGCATACGGTCACTACTGTCATTATATAAAGTGACTAATCCTTAATTTACAAGTTTCAATATTTTTGTATTTGCGATTGTTTTGTTCATTCATTACCTGAGCACTTATCTATGATTGTATTCGATTTTATCTTTGGAAGCATTACATTTTGTTTTTTAGTATACATATTTCCCTTGCTCGTACTATTGCTTTACGTATTGTAAGCATTTTTCCGGATATTTAGTCAATCAACGTCACCTACGTTCATGAAATTCCTGTGTGTTGAATAATGTGCTCATATTTATATTGTTAAGTATTTATGGGGTGACCACCGAACTATTTTGTTTCCCCATGACCTCGTTCTAGGCTGATAAAATGAAAAAAAAACAGCGATAAGTGTATGCAGATTGTTAGCATAAACACAATTTATCGGACTGTGCCAACAAACATTTCATAGCAGCTAAACTGCGGCTTCCTGAACGACATAACTTGCTGCGCTAAATAAGCTTCCATGTCGTATAGTGTACATGCACAGGGATGAAGTTTGTCGTACCTGCATGCACAAGTTGAGTGTTTATTTTCGGGCAGTTTGTAGTTGGAAGGGATAGTGAAATATTCGTCAAAAATCGTATTAATGAAAAGCGGCTTTGGGAATCGAAAACGGAAGTGAACACCTATACTCGATTGATAAAATCGATTAGATCGAATGTCGATTAAATGTGGTGTCTTATTTAGTTTAACATAGCTAATTAGTACACTTTGTCAATTCGATATTCAACATTTCTGAGTATCTGCACACCTCTAACTACATGCGTCCTATGAACTCCGTCATTCAAGTTCACACCTACGAGAAGAAAAATTAATAGAAAATGAATGCAGGAATGGCTCCGTAACGCCCGTTGTAAAGCGAAGAGACGACGAGGATTTCTACAGCAATTGCTGCATTGGCCGAATATGTTGTTGAGCGGGGGCGTCGTACACTGAGTTTAGTTTGACCCGATAACGAAAGCTTGAAAGGTTACTTTTCACGACCGTTGCGCGGCTGCTAAATTGCGCGTGTGCAATCGAAGTCATACGAGAAATAACACCGACCCCGAACGATAAACGTCAGAGGCACAATCAGCGATTCGTAGGGTCATAACTCGGCAACGCTGATTGTGTTCAAATTCTTGTTTACGGGATGTAGACCTTTTCAAAAACGCCTCCCTGGGCGCCGCCATAGTCTTCTTTGGGCTGCGCCATCTGGCGTGACCCCTCAAAAATGCACTGACAAGGCTGCGCCCTTAGCCTGTGTACTCGCGCTCGCAGCCCATCATGGCGGTGTCTTTTTCCCTCTCGTGAAAAGGTGTGCAGTTTCTCGCAAGTAGGGAAGTATAATGTGAACTGGTTTAATAGCAAGTTTAACGAAATTCGATGCCATATCAGCACGGTTTGACACTATATGTCAGTCACTTCCCGCAATTAGAGACAAACGTTCTTCACAACGCGCTGAATTCTTAACAACGAAATTCCCATCTAAAAACATATAGCAATGTCCTATACCTGGACTTTTTATGTTCTGGGTTCGTTTACCACGGTGGTACAGCGGTTGCAGTGCATGGTTGCTGACAAGAAGGTCACGAGTTCGATCCCCGCCATGGCGGTCGCATTTCGTTGCAGTGACATGGTAGGGGCTCACGCAATGTGCCATGTCTGCACGTCAACCGCCACGTGAAGGCCGAAACTACCAGAGTGCTCCACTACGACGTCTCCCATAACCATGTCGTCGTTCTGGGACGTTCAAACCCAACAATTATTATAATTCCAAGTTCATGTTTTCTTTGTGCTCACATTATGCGAAATATTTAGTGATCTACTAATTAACATTTGCATATTGTTTATTTCGTTGCTGATGCGCCGCACTCCGCGGACCAAATCGAATTTGTTTTTACTTTGTTTTTTTGTTGGCAAAGAATGGTGTTAGCCATGGTTTCGCTCGCACACGAAAAAAAGATATTCGCAAAAGCATTATACTGCTTTATTACTTAGCGGGCGAAAACAAAATAGCAGCACGGCGAAAAAACACTTACCAAAGCTCACATTGCTTGAAACTCTGTACGGTTGTTTATGTTTTCGACTTGGCTGAATACTCCGTGTTGCCACTACACCGTTTGCGTCATGAACGGCGCGGTGTTCACTTACGAAGCCCCCCTCGAGAGTGCCTCTGGGCAACGCAACCGTTTGCGACTGGAATGCTCGTGTTGAAATAAACAGACCGCTTGGAAGCCGAGTGTACCGCAAGAGGCGCACTAAAGACGGCACGTTTCGGAACCCTTGCCCTGCATGTGCTCCTTGTCTTCGGACTAATCTGCCTGTGTCGCCGAAGGATACCGAGCAGGCGGCCACAGCGTCCGGTTTCCAAATATATAGGTCGTTCTTTCGTACGCGTTATGCCGCCGTCAGTAGGCGCCTTCACTAATTATAGAGTAGGGGCCGTCTTTTCTTATACGAGCAGTTTCATTTTATGCATCACTGATGGTGTTTTAGGAAGGGGGTTTGTACCCCCTTTGAAGTTTTGAATTGCGCATGTGTATGTTGTAGAGAGCGACAGAGAGACAGTGCCCGTCCGTCGGGCAAGTTGTTCTATACGCTATTCAGCCCGTGCCTCACAGCTGCCGTGCCGCTCTTTGTGACAACATACGCAAATAAACGCATCGGCAATGCACGTAGAGTAACTGAACCGCGCCGGTACACTGAAAAATAATTTTTCTGCCTACGTTCCTAAATAACGTTTTGTGTATGTGCAGGATCAGTAACACTGCCTCCGTTATATCTGAAGTAGGCGGTTTTCGCGACCTCACCTTACGAAATAAAGAGCCGGAGACAGTGTCGCTTTCGACGCGACAATTGTTTTGCTCATTCTGATATAGAGGAAGCCGATCCGTATCAGGAAAATTGAGCACTCGGAAACGGCAACCTTAAAGAGAGCCCATCTGCTATGCGGCGATCGCTAACGAAAAATTGCGACGAATGTCTTGTTAACAAGACAGATGCATCGCGATCCGATCCCGACGACAAGCTCCACTTCAAAATGAGCCCGCCGCAGCGTTTGGCACAGTGACAGCTTGGCCAGTGAAGCGCCGAGCGCGCTAAAAACACCCGTACAAGACAATCGGCCGCTTCAGCTGTGAACGGAATGCCCTCCCCGAGTTCTGGTTTCGGGCGAAACGAGAATCCAACCGCCGTTTTTCCCACACAGAACCACAGCAGTAAGTCAACCCTCCTTCCCCGCCGATCGTCGTCTGCATCCGTCGGGCGTCGTCTGCTAGAGCAGGGTTACGCGCGGTAAATGCGTTGCGCGTGGTTACGGTTACGTTACGAGGTTACGTGCCCCCGCGTAGGAACGGTGACTCACCCAAAATCACGCCGTCCAAGTCGAAAAGCACGTGTGTCACCGGCTTGAAGGTCGCTGCCATGGCCCCAACCCGGAGCGCACCCTGCCGACTTGGCATCTTCCTCGTCAGCAGGCGAGTGTGGCAGACGACGCTGTTCGAGGTTTCACTTTCGATAAAGTGTGACGTGCGAAACAACACGTGTTTCGCAATAAGACACTCCTTCTGCACACAATGAGCTGCGCGTTATCTTGTGCGCATATGTCCACTGAAAATAAACAGGCACCTTTTTGTGAATAAAATATTCACTTGATTTTGAATTTGAGCATTGTTATTGTGCCGCAAAAAACCTCATATCAGATGACCAGGACTTCGTAAAAAAAAATGTATATCTGTATTTAAAAAACTAAGTTATCAAATTTTTAGTTGGCCAAGTAATAATAAAGTAAACAGTTTTTAATTAACGTGCAGTCACAAAGTTGTTTTCGTAATAATTTTTAATCTTGAAGGCTGTGCTTTGAGTGTATGACTTTTTCAACCCTGACGTCGAGTCGACCCGCGACCTCCGAGATGCGATGCACAGCACGACCGAGAATGTTTCTTCGGCGGTATGTTTACCTGCACTGGACGCACTATCTGTCATCAAGATCGCGCGTCGAAGAAATGCTCGTCTAATTTACTTGTGCTTTATTACTCAACTAGTGCAGCACGCGCCGTCCTAATTTTTTCATCTTCCGTGGTCACCGAGCTTTGGAACATCGCGCTTTGTAACAAGCGGTCGGCATCCTTCATACACCGAATGATAATATGCAGCTGCAGTGCGTGAGAGCTCAAGCTTAGGGTGCAAGGCAAGGACAACGATGATCATCGTTGTTATTTATTGCACGCACCCGCAAATAACGCAGCAGATTGTCAATGGCAATCACGGAGGTCATGCAAGCACTTTACCGTTTTTCTATGCACCTCGTAGATGGCGCCACGTGCCCGTTGTTTTCGCCCGATTGAAGGTGCGTCGGCGGAGCAAGTATGTGCATGTCATGTGTAAAGCTTGTGGTCGTTTGATAACACGCGAACTAACTTGTGGAAAGTAGATCGCGTGCATTTTGTTGAGCTTTCTCCTCTGGTAATCTCAATACCTCCACTTCGATAACGTTACTTCTTCCCTACTGACTAGTTGATTATGTGTACCGTGGCGACGAGATATGAGTGAATCCGATATACACCAGATGTTTTAAAGTTTGCAATTTGTATTAGGCGCTGCTGCTGCATTGAAGATTTTGAAGAAATGTGTCAATGTGGCCTTTTGACATACGTGCGTTTTTAAAGTGCGGTCTTCCTCTAAATGAGGAGCATTGGTGTCACTACGCTCACGCCGCAGGAGCCTCGCTTGCTCATAAAGTACTCTCGGTGCAAAGTTGGGTCGCGTGCGTCACTCAACGTAAACCTCAAAACGCGCTTCGTGCTGGAATAAAACCGAAAAGGCACGCCAACATCCTCGCAAACCACAATAAACTTAAAAAAGATAGGTTAAAAAAGTTACGCAGTCGACAGGATTCGAACCTGTGCGGGGAGACCCCAATGGATTTCTAGTCCATCGCCTTAACCACTCGGCCACGACTGCGAGGTGTTCCGAGATGAGCAAAATACTGAAGGGATAGGTGAGCCAATATTTTTTTTGCCGGTTTTTTTATTTAATCATTTTAGCACAATCATTCAGGGGAGCTGCACGCCAATGAAGACTGCAAATAATCTTTCGTCTGGCGAGCCGCACATTTGGACTTTGGTGGTAATGTTGCACCTTTTGCTTTTCGCGCAAACGCAGTCTATATTATTTTTTTTTCTCACGGTCCCATTTTTCACATATACACAATAAAGCATAGGTAAGCAAATAAATATCGAACAGGAATAACAGTAAAAGACATATTGCAAATTGTAACAAGTCTAGGCATAGATAATAAAAAGAAATATTGAGGAGTTATATTTTTTCAGGAAAAAAAAGACTTAGTGCTACAAGACTATTTGTTCGATCGCAGTCAATAATAGAGTTATGCGATTTTTTTTTTTTAATGCGAAGCATTTCTTATCGAACTTCGGCGACTTTGAGCGTATCTATCTATATATGTCCCTTGCGTTTGCGTGCTCTCGTGGTCACCCCCTTAACTTGGCGTGAACCAAAATTAGCATGGGAGGGTAAGATGATTAGACGAACATGACGTGCTGGTCAAGACATGATACCGTCGCGTACGTCGTCAAACACTTCCCACCCGACAGTGGCACATACCCACGGGGGCGGGTATGTGGCGCTGGTATGCGGGTATGCGCCACAGGTGATTGACACTTAGTATATGTACCCAGGAGCGACGAGAACGCACATGGACAATTTCAACGCGTGTTTGCTAATCAAAGTAAGACCAGAAAGCGCGCCCCTGAAATCCTGCGTTCACTCTTGCCTTTCTCTCGAGAAACGTATCTTGCCTTTATATCTCGTTACATTCAAGTGACATTGCATGCGTCCAGGAGGACTGGAACCGTCCTTGTGCCACTCGACGTTCAATCGTTACCTTGTATGGCACATCACAGCGTCTCTTCGCCGCTAAAAGGAGCACCATGATGTATTTTTTTTTTTTTGTTCTTTTGCTTTTTAAGTCCGGACCCACGCCTATTGCACGGAAAGAAAGAAAGAAAGAAAGAAAGAAAAGAAGGAGAGAAAGGAAGAAAGAAAGAAGGAGAGAAAGGAAGAAAGAAAGAGAGCCAGCGGCGCATCCCTTGAAGTCATGCGGCATTCTTTCCGTCAGCGCTTCCGCAGGTCTGGTGGTTTCCGAATCCTGTCGCGTGGCACGCACGAAACAACAAAATTCGTACAAGACAAGACAATGGTCGGTCCTTTGGTGTGGCTGCCGATTCTGCGCCAGGGCTGCACAATACTTACGCGTTGTCTGCCTCGCTCGCCGACGACAACGGGGGAAGTCGTGCTCCAATCGTGGCGATTGTTTGTAGTCTTCGCTTTGCTATGCTCCGACGCCATGAAGGGCGCTCATTCCGCTTCGGTTTGATTTCGGCATCGGCCGTTGACCTGCACAGTCTGAACGAGAAAAAATTAGCCGACAATTACGATGCTGCCTCATGCGAATTATGACAGCATGCTCGGTGTTGGGGCCAAGGCCAACCATGTTTTCGCTTTCCCCCGACTACGCCATAAATTACATGTTTTGTGAAATAGGACAGCGCCCAGTACGATTATTTGTCTTTGTGCGAATAAGTGATGTAACCGTTGTTCACCCGGAAGGTACTACTTACATTTTTTTTAATGCGAGAAGTGGCTGTGACGTCGACAATTCTCGCTCGGACTCTCCAATGTCGCAACAGCACCCCCAGTCTACGTCAACCAACGGAAAATGTCGATTGCACCATAATACTCGGCTAAGCATACATTCTAAATTCCTAAATGTAAAACGAAATAAAACATGTTATATGCAAAGCTCGTTACAGTGGCCACGCATGCACATACATACATACATATATATATATATATATATATATATATATATATATATATATATATATATATATATATATATATATAGTATCGGACAGTAATTTATTATGACGTTTTAGAATAATGGAGGATATGTAGTAGACAGATTACATAGGAAATTCACTAGAAACACAATTTCGCCGTCTTCTTTACTTCCTTGTCCTCTCTTATGGCTCACAGCGAGTGGCACATACTCGCAATGATATACAGGGCACTCTCCATCCATGCGTCTTAATGTTACGCGGGTTAACGCGAGTCCTTGGCCGACATGACACCGACAGCACTGCATGGTGTGGCTGTGTGGTAGAATACCCGACTGCCACGCAGAGTGACCTGGCTGAAATCAATGCTTTTGTATTCTTTCATCGTTTTATTTTTTCATGTTTGTTGACTACGCCACTGACGGCGATGTCATTCAAAGCAGGAATGGACATCTAATGAGTTTCGCTCTAATATATTCAACCTTGTCGACATTTCTTTTGGGCAGTGATCCTGAACGACATGCTGGAGCACATACATAGCGCAAGTTGGCATAGGGTTAGGCGGTTACATGTGATACAAGCAACGGAATGGACAAATGTCAACCACCAACAAGTAACGCCATTCACGTAATGGAACGTGAAATTCACATGTTCCTTGAATACCAAGATGTCCCCCTTTTTTGCCTGGGCCTCAAATGTTTAAATGTGTGAAATTGTTGTGGGTTGCCTGACGGCATACCGAGCTTGGCTTGAAAGACGCCGTCCTGTGCTGGGCAATGGAGGTAATATAACTTTACCCACGCACGTATGCACTTTAGCCCACGTTGCCTTAGCCTCATGTTCCCACAGGTCTTCCCGAACGTTTAGCCCTTGAAAAACAAAATTACTCGTTTGTTCATTGCTGAAAACTACTTGTTTACAAAGTCGTTATAAGCCTTTCTCGGGAATCGAAATAACTAAGTTTTAAGGTAGACCTATAACTCTATCAGTTATTCCTTCAATCCTTTATTATTGTTGTTAGGAATTGATACAATCACTAGCAGCAGGAGGAGGTAGGGAGGTGAGAACTCTCAGGTGGATCTCCTGTCCCCTGTTATTCGCAATGTATGACTGATATCGTAATAACTGAAGCTTTCACGGAAAATGAAATATGCGTAAGCGTAGGGTGTTTCATACTCAACACCATGCATGCTTCTCTGGCCCCCATTTTAATTGCTTTTTTCTTTTGCCATATTGCATGACATCTTCGCCCGAGCAACGATTTATGGCATCGAATAAGAAAGAGAAAAGAAAAGAAATAAAGAAAGAAAGAAAGAAAGAAAGGGAGAAAGAAAAAAAGAAAGAACGAAAGAAAGGAAGAAAGAAAGTAAAAATCTGTTAAAATGCATCACGGTCGGGAACTCGGGATGCTCCGGAGCTCCTGTTGTCTGCTGTGACGGGACGGTTAGAAGTTGGGGGAAAGGACGGACCCGGCTGCAAACTACACCGCGTTGTAGTTCGGTGCAGTTTACTAATCGTGAGTAGCATTGGTTCGAACGCGCATTGGCACAGTGCCTCCGACTTTATAGCCAGTCTTACTTTTTTTCTTCTTGCCCCCACTCCAAGTGTACATCGGGTCGCCAACCGAGCCAAAGCTTGGTTA